CCAACAGAGAGTTCTCATTGCACAGAAGGCAAAGCACATACTGAGCTACATCAGGAAGTACAGGACAAATCAAGGGAAGCTCTTATCCCCCTCTATATGACACTGCTGAGGCAGCGCATGGATTACTCCTGTCTGGTTTTGGCCCTCTTGGCCATCAAGGATGTGGAAAAACTGGAGAAAGTCCAGCCAAGGGCTGCCAAGGTGCTCAGAGGCCAAGAGCACATGTCCTCTGGAGAAAAGGTAGGAGTTGGACTTACCTGAGGAAGAGCAGAATATAGCGTGATCTATTAACTGCCTAAAAGTACCTGCAGGACAGTTACAAAGATGAGGCCTCTTGGTAGTGGCAGATAATGTAACAGATGCAGCGGCCACAGACTCTAGCTTAGGAGGTTTGGATTAGGCAGTAGGGCAAACTTTTTTACTAAGAGAGCAGTACAACACTGGAACAGGATGCCCAGAGAGGTTGTGTATTTTCTATCCTTGCAGGTTTTCAAGATTCAGCTAGTCAAAACCCCAGCTGACTCGATCAAGTGCTAATAACAGTCCTGCTTCAAGTGGGAGGCTGGGCTGGACGATCTCCCAAGGTCCGTTGTGAACAACGTGTCCACGATCCTGTGGTCTGCTGAGAGACAGAGATTGCCCAAGACTCAAGGCAGAAGCAGCTTGACATAGGGCAGAGGACTGACCACACAAATCAGTCTCTTTAATTTTCAAAGAATCAAATCCATAACGATAAAGTACCTAGAACTGCTCTCAGGCTGTATTAAAGGACCCCAAACACTAGAGCTCTGCACGTGCTCTAGTAGCAGCACAGAATACAAAGTAGAAAAGAGAGAAGCGCCCACAACGCAGGCTCGGTCAGACTTCATGCACGCAGGTCTGCTGCTCGCAACCTGCATGTAAAGCTGGGCTGCTGTAATGCAGACCTGCTTGCTCAGGTCTTCAACTGTCGTCTCCAAATCTTGCTTCACAGAGTGATGTAAGCAAGCCCTAAGTGTCATTTCTTTTAGAAAAAAATATTACAACAACAAATCCCTCCAGCTCACCTTACTCATTTCCTCTCCCCCATCTCTTACTACCTTCTTACCACAAAGGCAAAAGTCCTTTTATAATACAAGGGCTTATCTTATCAACTTGCTCAATAGCCCCACAAAGCTGAAAGTTCACCAGAGCCCTTTGAAAGCACAGATTTAACCTGTTTCTAGATGGGCTACACGTAAAAATTAAGGAAAACCAAGTCTTTCATATGTCTCTCAGCTGGAAAACACTGAGATTTTAAGCATGCAATTACACCAAGACAATTCTTCAGTATTATTCTGACCCTTTTTATGATAAAACTTTGTCATGTTTCTGCACCATTTCAGAACTAGTTTCCACTGCAGCACAGATCTCCCCACATGTCAAATGTTAAATATTTTTTTTTTGCTAGAACTTAGGGGAAAACCTCCCAAGCAAAGAGCATTGGAAGAGTTAATGTAGGCTAATGTGACAAACTAAGGCCACATTCAGACCAGAAAACGTGTACTTTCATTTTTATGCTATGTTAGTTATCACAGAAGTCCTGGTACACAGATATCTGATCCTAGCTAAGGGAGAACTAACTCTGAGAAAACAAGTATCCTCTCAGCCCTTGTGTGCTAACCGAGACGCAGTTCCAATATACATACTTACTGTAAATTGCATCTTCTTTGGAACTACTAAGTTATAACATTTTTCTAAGCATGACAAAATTTGAGGAAAAACTTTGCTAAGCTTCCTTACTCATAACTTCAATTTCAGTAACTTTTAGGACCGATATTATTCTGCAGATCAAAGATTGCCTACTAAACCAGAAATGAAAATAAGCTTTTCTAAAATACTAGTACTGGCAAGCAATGACTAATACCAATATCACCTGCAGGAGAAAGTTAATTATATTACAGTTTAAGTTTGCCTTTTTTTTTTTTTTTTTAAGTTTACAATATTATTAAGCAGTTTGCATCTTTTTAAGCTCTTAGTTTATGGAGTTATTTATTCATTGCCAAATCTTCCTGCCGCTTCCAGTACTGGCAGAAAGACAAACTCAGGCAGGAGTCCAATCTAGATTCACTGACTGGCCAAGTCCCTATTTCAGCTGACTGATTCCATGCAACTGTTAGCCCTAAAAAGGCCCACCGCACCAGAGGAGACAGCTGGTGTCTCAGTCCCTGAGCAAAAGGGGAAAAGTTGCACAGAACTAATCACTAACCTGCAATTAAAATAAAAACAGGCCTCCTCTCCCCCCTCCAAATGGTGTCACTTTGTCTAGGATTAGGTGATCTCTGCATGACAAAACAAGGGTGCTTCTCTAACTTCACAAGAGGTTTGTTAATGCTTGAGCTACAAAGCAGCCCTTCCGCATTTCTGCTCTCCTCTTCCAGAAGCTTTTTTTTTTTTTTTTTTGACATCCTATAACTAACCCCATCCTCCATAGTCTTTCAGGCTAAAACTGCTTAAAATGGATTTGCTTTGATTTCACTTGTTCAAAATTAAGGTATAAGCACACTTCTTTACTTGTGAGAGTCTGGTCTTTGGCTTTTATACATTGCAGAAGTAATAAAGTAACCCATGTCTTATAATGCTCAGTTTGATTTCTTGTGGCTGAGTTTCAGGTTGTGCTTTTAGAAAGCATTGACCTAGTCTTCTAAAAGGTCATGATAAAAATTCTCAAAATCTTCAAAGTAGCTGATGAAGCTATCTGATATTGAAGACGGGTAAAACATGTTACAGCAATGAGATAAAAAAGCAGCTTACACCACTAGGAAGATTTTTTTAAAAGGTAAATATCATGGACTGCATATGGCATTATCAAAATACTAGTTTAATGAATTCCAGTATCAAAAAAAAAAATAGGGAAAGTGGGGGGGAGGTCAAGGGAGAATGTATTTTTTGAAAGTCTTCTAGCTGATCAAGAAGTATTCTGTAACATGTACCAAAAGGAACTTATGCCATAACCAAGGTAGCATTTACATTGCACTCCTACACACACACACACACGCATGCTGACACCAGTGCTCAGCGTTTCCTGTGCAGCACATGAGCAGTGCTGCCTGCTAGGAGAGTCAGTTCACTATAGCAGAGCGCCTGGATTTGGAGACCAGGGACTTTCCAAGGGCATTTCAAAAAGCAAACCAGACCCAACACCCCCCACCCAAAGGTCCACTTCAAAGATAGTCCACTTCAGAGAGTACTTTGGGGCTGGGGTCTGAGCAGGCTCAGAGCACATTTTCACCCATTTTCCTATGAGCTTAGGGAGCAGAAACCACCGAGGACACAGCTTCTTGCCAGTACCACAGCGCACCAGGCAAGTACCTGTGGTTATATGGTCACCCAGTCCTAGGCAGGTTAAGTCTTGTGTATCCTAGCTACTGTTACTAGCAAATATACATATATTTGTTTCCCTCCCCCTTCTCTCCAACAGAAGCTTCCTCCTGAGATACCCAATATAGACCTGCCTTCTGTCTGTGGCTGAAGTACTCACGGGTTCATCGTGCAACACAACATGGCTATGACCTCACTGTTTACATGAAAGGAATTTAAACAACTTAACTGGAAAGGATTACTTAATTTTAATTTTTTTTTTAAACTGGTAGCAGCCTCTTACCACTATTGCTCCTAACAGTTGCACAAACATCCTAATACCACACTTCCACTGCTACCAGACCAGCTCCAAGGCTCTCCACGTTTGTACTCCATAGTAACAGAAATCTAGGTTAGACATCACCAGCATCTGCACCACCACTGCCAGCAGCGCAGCTGCTGTAACACGGGTGCTTTTTCTTCATGTAAACAAGCCCTTCTAAGCCTGCTAGAAGTTACTCAATATGCCAGATGGCCCAGCCCTCTCATTTTGATAACATACAGCTGTGCTTCTCTTGTATTTGCTGCAGCCATCAACTAAGTTTCTTACTGCCTTTAAGCACAAACTGCAATTTTAAGTCTTTTGGATTATTAGTCATTTCCTAGGTAAATGCAAGCCATTTTCACGTACCAAGTCCCCTCCGTAAGAGTAACCTGATTTAAGATGAAATAAATGAGTTTTTCCTTTATGGATAGATCCAGGCTGAACAAAGCCTCGTGAAAGTGAGTTCTCTGCTCTACTGTAATAAATACAAGCAAAAAGTGGGGAAAAACCAAGTATTTAGATTTTTATATGTTATTTCATAATTAAATGTGCCTCGATTATGCTTATGTTAAAACCTTTTTGAATTCTGTATATCAGAACACAGGTAGTACATACAATATTGCTCAGAACTGCTGCCAAAACAGCTTTTCTTGTATAGGAATTTAGTAGAAACAGATATTCCTTGTAAGACATCTACTGCCACAAACTGCAAAGGGTTGTACTGTTTTTGTTTTTCCAAACACCACACCTTGAAAAGTTAAACCACCCCCCCAAACTTCTGAATTAAAATACAAACTTTACAACCACATAGTAAGTGTAGGCTCTTATATTTCAGTTTAAGACTATATAATTTTATAGAGTACCAAAATAAGCAAAGGATCAGCACTCCATACAAAGTGTTAGCTCTTGGGAGAGGGGTAGGGGGAAGGAAAGAATTTGATTACACTAAGATTTCCTGCAAATCTAAAGAAAACTCCATTTCAGCAAAACAGGTTCAGGTTTAGATTTCCTGCATTTCTAGTTCATTAGATAGTGTTTCTTTAAAGACAACTTACATTTTTGTTTGTTCAGAGGGATGATTTAAAGCAATATTAACAAGGAGGTGGTGCTGTGAATGTTTAATGTCAATATGCAATATGGTATCTGCTATAAAGGCTAGAAGAGCAACACATCTTCACTTCCAAAGACTATAAGAAATTGACTAACATTTAAAAAAAATTCAAGCACACTACATTGACTCTACATCTACACTGCTGCTGGTAAGCCTCTGCTAGCCTGTGCGCTGCCAGATCCCGGCAGTAACATGCATGTTCACATGTATATCGTTCACTCCAATTTATGACAGTTACATCTCTCCCCTGTCTTTCATGGCATTAAAATGCAAGTAAATTGTTAACTAACATTGCCACAATTTTACAAAAGCATATATCTGAACAAAATAGCAGTTAAAACAAATCTGAAGTTCTCCATTCCATTCCAGAATTCACTCTTCATGACAACCCTCCTTCTGTCCTATTTCCTGTCCAGTTTCTTTCCCCACTCCCTCCCTAATTTCTATTTTACAATAAATATATTGAGTGGATTTACATGATGCGTAAGTGCAACTCAAAGTCTTTTGCCCTACACATATAGCCATGTTAAATTGTGAGATTATACATGTGATATCTCTTAACAGAGCAACCACCAGTTTAGATTTTTAAAGAAACACAAGTATTTCAGCATGTACACAGTAATGAGTTTAAAACTATCCAACATCATTGTTTTTATACATTCTCTTCCTCTTTATAGCCTTAACGGGATTTTAGACCTTGATGGCAACAATCCCAAAACAAGAGTAAAATGAATTTATTTTATTGCAAACAAACGTCTAGAGTTAAATTTCTCCACCCACTTTCTTTAAAGAGAAAAGGAATCAGCAGGCTAAGGAGATACACCCATTTGAGAATTGACATGATTAAAAATTAGATATAAAATGGGTGACTCACAGTTTCATTAGCTTACAAAATGGTGGAGTAACTACTACAAGCACACTAGGTATACAGTATTTTGTGGGGAAAGGGTTATACAGACACACAGCTAACTTCATATAGATCCCATTAGACAACTGGATTTACAACAAGTTTTGTTTAATAAGAAATGGGCAAAGCCAGCTTCTTTTCAGAATCAAAATGCAGAACAAATGGAAAAGAAATTATGGTGTTGTACCTTCACAAGTTTGAGCCTCCACAAATAACGCAACCAAGTTTTACAACTTTAAGAGCTTCTACATACACTCCACCTTCACTATTTAGCTCCAGGTTTCCTCTTTGCCCCGACATCTTATTGAATTCCAAATGTTACAAAAAGTCCTAGTTATTGCCAGAAACTTTTACCTCCCCTTCCTCCCCTCCCCACCCAGAAGCTTCATAGAGAGGATGGAGTGTAATATGGAGCTTTACATAATCTCATGATATTCATGAGGGCTACTAAGAAGCCTCTATACGAATTTGGTTGCTAACATTTCTATCGTATTGTGACATGACTCACGACTGTTTCTTAGAAATTGGGGGATGGGGAAAAAGGAGAAAATTCTTTAATAAAAAGACACCAGGTACAAAGCAACGTTTTACTTTTGTTGTGGTAAAAAAAAAGTCACATTTTACAGATAAAATGTAGAACCCTGAAATACTGACACATTCTCTTATCGTGCACAATGCTGAGGTTCTCTTACGAATCACTTTAAAACTGCAATTAAAAATGTACAAAAAAAGAAAAAGAAAAAAATCAACCCACAAAGCTTCTAAAAAAGGAACCCGCAGGCACTTCCTCTTGTGGAATGTTTAAAAAGTTAACCTACTAAAGAAAACAGTCGACTTCTTGTGAAGGTTTTGGAGAAATATGTATCAGTTCATTTATTTGGGTATTCAATAATATCCTTGGTGATAATGCTGACTCCATGGCTTCTGACCCCAGAATTGCTGCAATAAATGGATAAATAGTTAATTTTAACCTGTAATCACATCAAGATCATACTTTTTTTTTTAAAAACAGAATTTATTTTTGTTTTTAAAACAAGCTAGCTTCCCTGGAACTTAAGACTAGAGTCCTCTCAAATAGCAGTAAGTTCTTAAACAACTGAAGGCAGTTGAGTGCACTTCACAGTAGTAATGTGAAGCCAAATACTAACATACCATTAAGACCGATAAGCCATAGCTGCAATTTGATACACCAAAACCATCAAGCCCAGTTAAGTCTTACAGAGAAAACTATTTATAGTAACATTACCTGGCTAATACAAAATGTTGCTACCTAGTTTTTATTACATATCTACTTCTAATTACTTCAGATAGCATTTTGAAATACTCAGTTCAACAATCAGTAAACAAGAAAAGTTTAAGTTATCACTACTTACACCCTGCTGCCACTGGTTGTAGCCCTGAGATTGGTTTTTGTAGCCACGATTATTTCCCCGTCCTCTGAAGTTCTGCAAGACAACAACGGTTTTGAACTACCTCATCCAGACAGATTTTCAAGAAATGTACTAATGCTAGTCGTCTTCCTGTTCTTACCAAAACAGGACATACCACATGCAAGCTTTCCAGTATAAGGTATCACCTCTATTAGCAAACAATACCAGAAGTATCTCCCTCCAAGCAACCACTTAAACATGGGGCAAGAACCTCCAAACAAGCCAGCTCAATGAACTGCTGTTGCCCATGGTCTGGAAAGCTGGCTAATCCAGTTTTGACTCACCCTGTTTCCAGCTGCTAAACTGCACCAGGACAACTAAAAATACAACAGCTTGGCTATTTTTAGTTAGGAAAGGCTGTAGTTGCTACAAGGATGTTATCTGATCAGACAAAAGGATATGGGTCATACAACTGAAAATAGAAGAGCTAGTCCACAAAATTTCAAATCAAAGCTATGGTGCAGAAAACAAAAAAACCATTGATACTGGTACATAAAACACTGCTTTTCCTCTGTTCATCAGTATTAGACAAACCTGAGCCATGTTTACTAGCTTGGGCTCCATCTGCTGGCTCCTCAGTAATCCAAATTTTATATTTTCTAATACTTTCACTGATATCCATCAGTTAAGACAAAGGCTAGTAAGTCTTTACTAGTTGTGCTTGCTGTTACACACCAAAACAAAGACCTTCCCCCAAGAACTACTTCCAGGAAGTTCTCTAAATGCTTGTCGGTTTAACTTTCAACAATTAGTAAAAGTACAGCTTGACCATAAAGTCAAACAATGGCTACTGCTGTTTAGCAGTGTTAAGCATCCCCTAGTTCTGGATCATGTAAAAGTCATGATATGAGCTGTACGTTAAACATACTGAATAGGACATGCTGTGCGTGTCCTTTTTGCACTACAGCCAATATAAAAACTGCTTTTGTCTGTACGCGAGGCATCCTCGCACTGTTTGCGAGCAAGCACACAGGCATATTCACCACAGATGAAGACTCCGACCTGTCATTTAGATGCAAGACTCGGGGAGGGGGGAGGGGCACAACACTCACAAGCCTTCACATACACTGTGAAGTTACAGAAGTGATTTACTGTTATTCAAATGGGCACCTGCACATCATGCGTATTGCAAAAAGCAGTACAATGCTTCAGTTAAAATGAAATGCCAAACTATGTATTTAGAAATCATAGCTGAGCATATGCACCTAGATTAATTGCAAAAAGGCAACTCGGTCCTCTCAGTGCCCTAAAACGGAAGCTGTTATCCTTAGCTACCATGGAACATAAGCCCTAAAAATCTTCAGATTTAATAGGCCAGGGAAGTACAGTCTTAATATGGAACCACTGTATCAGCACTAGATCTTTTTAGTTGATCTTCAGAGCTCTGAGCACATGCACTAACCTAGAAAGTTAGGCCTTTTGCTATGGGATTAGCATATTACAATAGCCAAGTTTGCTGCTGCTCATTAGTAACAAACCTTTCAAACAACATCACCTGAAGTGCTGTAGTTCAACTAATAAATCCCTAAAAAAGGCATTACCTGGTTGTAGTTCCCCCTGTTGGGCATTCCACCTCTGTTATAATTTCCTCTGTTTGAGTAGCCACCTCTGCTTGGAAAGACAGGGCCACGAGGATACGGATAGCCAATTGCACCACTGCTGCCACCGCCGCCGCCACCACCACCTCCACCTCGCTGAGGCATATTGCCCCCCCTCCTGTTGTATCCACCACGATTGCCAGGGACTGCAGGGGAGAGAATTGCTCGAATCAGGAAATACTTATTGTTCAAAATAACCATTATGTGAAGATTAATAACAGTATAGAAATGGAGATGCCCAAATTCAGTGCAAAAAAACTCAAGCCATCTGGTCACAGTGAGTAGCGCTAATTTAAACACGCAAAACACCTTAACTCAGTGTGGTTCACAAGCAAATACCAAACTTAAGAATTCAGAAACTGTGCCTTAAGCCACATGAATACTGTAATTCATGATTTGGAAAGGACTGGTGACTCTCACTTTTGAAGTGAGAAAATTAACTTTGCAGTAAAGGTCAAGATACTACACTTACCTGAGTCAAAAATCAAGGTTCCCATAACAATGATGAGAAATCAAGCACTACAAACATTTATTTTTTTAGCAGCAGTGATCTCCAGAGTTTACTGGCTTATTTCTAGGCTCACCTCCTCCTCTGAAGTTGCCACGCATGTTGAATCCTCCACGCCCTCTCTGACCTCTATTAAATTGATTTTTATTGCTCTTTTTGTTCTTCTTTGAGCCAGTGTTCTGTTTCTTTTCCGGTGGAAGAGATTTCTTACTTTCTTCTTTATATTGTTCCAAGAGCTTCTGAGCTTCTTCCTTTTGCAACTCTACATAGATTATTTCATCAAAACATTCTGCTACCTCTGGCAGTGTGAAGTTCCCTACAATTGCAAAAACACTGAGTATTCAGCTTCTCCATTCACCTACAATTAAAGATGCATTTAACCACCTTTCTCCCGTTCTTCCTCCCACCCCCTGCATTCCCAACACATAGGGACAAAATTACGTAACTTGAACTTAAGAAATGTAAGAGTGACAAAAGAAATAAATGGTTCTCCAAGGAGTTGCCAGTACTGTTCCAAACCTTGAAAACATTCTGCCTATATCTTTTTTTTTTTTTTAAACCTCCACTCAGAGTACCAGTTTCTGCCAAATATGTCACTTAAATAGGGCACTTTATGCCAAGACAGCTTTGTGCATCTGCATGAAGCATATCAGCATAACTGAGTAGTGTTAAGGACTGCAGCAGAGGGAACACAATATAGTGTTGTCCTACAAGTTACAATAGTCTTCCAGTTTTGCTCAAGTAAAACTGTTTAAGATAACGTGATTTTTAGACTTCAGATTTACTTAATCCTTTAAACAGATACTCAGCATCCTAAAACACGGTATAGGATTATGTTCCATGCCTTTCATTTTGAGAACTGCATGCTCTGGAAGATCTTTTCCCTCCACCTCTGCCTTCTTTTGTGTTCTTTGCTTGTAGTCTTCATCTTTTGGGCAAACAACAACTGCTTTGCGCTGGAAGCCTGCAAACAGGCACATTTTTCTCCTCTGCGCAGCTGCAGACACATTTGTCTGAAAAAAATGCAGTAACTTACTACACGTAGCTGTCATTGTAAGAGTTAAGGAAGTCAACTTATGGTGTATAGACTTCACCTCTACAAGAGCTTGCAATGAAGTTTACAAATAACTGGACATAAAGATGTTGCATAATGCAAAGTTACGATCTCATATTCAAGTGTTAAAACACTATTCCTCCCACATCCCATAAATCCAGAGAAGTTCAGATAAAGCATTTGTAGTAATATCTCAACTCTGCATCTCCTGAATAAGGAGTAAAAGTCACTAAGTGAAACTAACAACTGCTACTAGAATGTAGCTTTAATCCCATTTAATTACTGCACTATAGCCTGTAACAAATTTCCTTAACAGTTTCTCACTGAAGCCTCTACCTGATCCAAAATGAAATTCCGCTTCTTACGAGCTGCAATCTCAATGAACTTTCCAAGACACTGTGGAGCTCTCTGCAACAGTGTGTTAAGCTTTCCGGTGTCTGCCATCTGCCGCTTAAAACCTGCGACCTATAGAGAAATTTCCCAGAGCTCCAGCAGCCCTGATCCACGTGGCTGCCGTTTTTTTTTGGCTAAATGCTTTTCATTTGACTTCAAGAATTAAGTCAAAGCAGTGGCTACAAACTCATCTAACTGAAATTCCCAAAGCCTCCACAAAACATGCATCTTCATAAACAAAGAACCTAGGTGAAGCAACACAGGTTAGTCTAAGATATATTCACCACATTATTGATTCAAAGCTGCATATGCTATTCTAAAGACAATGACAAACAAATTGAAACAGCTGAACAACAGCCTTTCTTACATAGCACCATAAAAACTTCACAGTTCTGCTGCGCTGTGTGTTAAGTGGTAGTTCAGTAAGACTAAATCTTTAATCTTCACTAATATAGTCAAGTAACTAGTAGCGACTTCTTAGATTTATGCACAAAGAATTCCCTGGGAGCAGAAAACCCTCAGATTTACAGTAAGTGTGCAACATATCAAACAGGAAGTCATATTACCACTTACCATCATTTTGTCCATAATAGTATTTGTCCCAAGAATGTTATATTTCCCAGGATTTGCTGCTGCATGTTTGGTAACCCAGGTAGTCTTGCCTGCTCCAGGCAAGCCAATCATCATCACCACCTATTATGACAAATTAGGTACTGAGATACTAGCTCATATTTTTCTTTTAAGTTGCATATTAAAGAAACTCTGGCACACTTAGGCTACATGGGATACCAAGTGTCAATGCTATTCTCCAAACAAAAAGCAGAAGAGTTATACAGAAGTATGCTTAAATCTTTGGTCCATCTGCCTCAACTGTTTTGAGATAATAAATAAGAACCCTACCTCACAATCTTTTTTTTGCTCAGGCCCCTTTGGTCCTCGGACTCTATCCTCCAGGGGGACCTTCTGGATGAAGGTATACTCCTCAGGTACAGGAAAGTAAGGTTCGTCCTTCTGACCAAAGTTGAACTCAACTGCACAGTTATGGCAGAGAACATGCGGGAAGAGTGGTCGCCCATCAAGGACTTCCTTACTTATTTTGAATGCCACACCAAGCTCTTGTCCATTCTTGGAATATGAAAGTTCCACTTCATCACCATCAAAATTCTGTTTTTCAAACAAAACGTTAGTTTGTATGAAATTACTCACCTCATAATGAAAATTCATATTCGTAATTACATTGTATGAGCTCTATTCACTCAAAGTTCTTCTGTAACACTGTTACAAGATAATGGAATTCCTTAGAAGCTTCTTCCCTTGAAATAAGTGACTGTCAACGATGATCTTGTTTAAAATCCAATTTCTTTTTTAAAAAGGCTTTAAAGACATTTGTCTATGAATATGCAATCTTAAAACCTTGACAGCAGCCACTGTTGATTATGCATGTTTTTTCTGCCTCCCCCCTAGATTAAGCAACTTGTCTGGCTCCAAGCTTTTCTGGATTCGCTTTACCCCTTCTCACATCAAAGCAGCTTGACAATTCAAGGGTTCCCCCCCCCCAAGAGAAAAAAAGAAAGTGAAAACTTACAGCAAAACATCCAATCACATCATTTTCATCAAACTTCTCACCAAAGTCTTCAGTCTCACAATTGCATGTCTTTATTCCTTTTAGAGAATATCCATAGGAAAATTCCTCTTCACCTGAAGAAGTAATTTAAACTAGAAGTACGTATTTTGTCTAACTTTCATGAACACAGTCACTTTACAGCTACTTAAGTATACTGACTTTCACAATGCTTTTATTTATGCCAGAACAAGCTTTGACTTCCAAAACAGCTGCTGCTTAATATCAAACAGCAATATTGCCCCCTTCCCAGGTTTAAGAGTCTTACGCTGCTGGTTCCAGATTCATATTTGCATAAAGCTAAACTGCTAGATAAAGAAAACATAAGTGAGTAATTTTTGAAGTCATAAGACCTGTTTATGCATCCACACACTTGTAATGTAAATATCTGGATAAACTTTCTGAATTAATCTTGAGTAGCACCTAACCCTCCCCATTTTATAGGCTGTGTTTCACCTAAACTCTGGGACAGCTGAGAATGAAGGTAACTGAGTCACTAGGCTCAGGTGGAACTTAAATACTTGACTAGAAAGCCACTGATGTTAGAATATACCAATTCATACACATTCCCCCACAAAAGAGCACGTCAGCAGCAGGTACGAGTTATTGAAACTGTTCATTACAGTGTTAATTTATCTCAGGAAGACATTCGTGCTTCCTCCTAACCACTTTCAGAAATGTGGATTCTCCCCTGCTCCTAAAAGGACAGTGTACTTAACCAGGAATTTTTCTTTCATAGCTAGTCTTACACTTTTTTCTTTATTTAAAGGGAGTTAAAAAAAACACCACCACAATCTTCCTCCTAGCAACTTTCTTCGGTCCCAAAAATGCACCTTTTCTCACTGTGTCCAATAAACTGTTCAAGTGAAGACCACTTTTCAAAGTGAAGATCACTTTTCAAAGCACCTGGATTACAAACACCAAGTTTTTCTTAACGTGCTGAAGAAATGAGAACTTCAGCCACATATACAAATAATACATAAGTAACCAAATGTTTAAGTCTTACCGAGCAACATTCCACTTGTGTTCAGTGACCAGCCAACTCGTACTTCGTGTATGTCAATGTCTTTTGTATACAGGTGTTTAACAGGAATCTTTTCTGTAACCTATTTTTAAATCATTCATTAAAAGGTATGTAGTATTAGACTCCAAGAAAATGGAAACACAAAGGTAACATCTGGAACCTTTGTACTTTGTTTCAATCCTTACTAAGTGTAAGTAATTACCATCTTCGGCAAAAATACGAGGCATGCTCAAGTTAGGCAAGGTGGAATCACAAGCCAGTCACTAAATAGTTACATTTCTCCACTGAGCAATGGAGACATCACATACCCTGTACCTCCAATCAAAGCACTTAGTCACAGCAGTCCCAATTAGCGGCCAAAAGCCTCAGTCCTTTTGAGACAGTATTAAAGGTACACACCATAAGATATACTCTTTTAAACATTCCCATGATATTGAGATTTAGCAATAAACTGCTTTTCCAATGAAATGTGATATAAGAAAAAAATTGTTTTAGAAAAACCTGGGAAACCATTACACTCATCCCTTCCCACAGTAAGCAGGGTTCCTGGGCAAGTTGCCAACTTCCAAACAACATAAGCAGATTCCAAAAACCCCACCAAGAGCACAGGAATCTGCAGGAAATCTACCTTTTACCTGCTTTAGGTCAGTTTGGTGAAATTTGCAAAAAACCGACCAGCACCTCAGTTTCCACAACTGTTCAAGTCAGGTGACCAAAGCGAAACTGATTTGAAAGTGAAGAGGGCAACAACGACATCAATTTCCCTTCACTGGCCTTCCAAAGTTTTAAGTACCAACAGAGACAGAAATCACTCAGTGAAGAGTGTCACTACCCACTCCTCATGGTAGCAATTATATAGGAAAACACTGGAGAAAGAACAGAGTAAGCATGTATATACACAGGCATGTCATGTCACATGCAAGAAGGCTTAAGCATTGTTAAACCAAAAATCAAATTCTGCACCTTTACTTTTCCCCCCTTCAGTGAATGGGAGACATTTGATTACCGTAAGGCTTTTTCTTTTCCATTTTTCCCTTTAGGAAAACTCTTGCTTCCAAAATTTTCACATTACGTATACAAGTCATGGCACTATTCAGGTTGGAAGGGATCTCTGAAGGTGTATGTGTATACATAATCTGGAATCTTCAGAAAGTACAATCGAGCTTTGACTAGCAAGTACCAAAACTCATCAAGTCTCACAGTACATGCTAATAGAAAATCTTAGTTCAAAAGTTAAGACCAGAAGTTACACATTCAACACAAATGCAAGTTCATTTTTAAAAGGAAATCCATATAAAGGAAGAAGTTTTGCTAATTAAGACATCTTTTATTGTTAACAGTTTCATAGGCCCAGAACAGGAGGTGTTCTAAAAGCTCTTATGTTCGACTCATCTGAATTAGTTGCAACTAAATCAAGAAGTTTGGACTGAAAGAAAATGGTAAGAATGAGCAGTATTATGTTTAAGCACGCAGAATGATCTCCCACCGAAACATCAGTCTAACTCACCTTCATCTCAAAGCAGACTTTGCCTTTAGAAACTCCATAGGAGGCTCTTCCTCCAGCCCAAAGAAAAGCAAAGCTTTCCATGGTCAGAGAGGAAGCACTAAACCGGTCTCTTGAGATTTTAAAATGCAGGTCACAGTTATCTGTTAACATAAAAATTGTTTACTCTATTACAAAATAAAGTATGATTGTCTAGTCTTACGCGTTTAAGGCAATTTCAGTTTTCAAAGGTGCAAACCTCCAATGATCGTAAGACAAACATCTGGCAAGTGTTCAGCATCCTTCAGGCGAGCAATTGAATACATGCCTAGATAAATCTGAAAGTTATACTTGTTAGCTAGCATTCCCTAGGTGCCATCTTCCCTTCTGTCACCAAATTCCTATCAATTTCTTGATTTCTGCAGAAGCACTTGAAACACAGACCTACTTTGATGGCAGCTCTTCTATTTGAGCTTTGTTAGCCAGTTAACCGAGACATCTCCACCACTATGCAAAGGAACTTGTACAGTGCTCTTTGAATTATTTGCTAATTTTTTTTCCTTTAAGTTTTCTTACCTCCTTGTCCAAGCCTAAGGGCAGCTAAGAAATAAATACAAAGACAAGTACTTTTGTTTAAGTACTGAAAGTAGTACTGCCTTTGGTGAATATAGTGACTTAGCCAGTCCAATTAGATTAAGCCAATTAAAATAAAGTCAGTTAAGTCAGATGCAGATAGCTTAAGCAGGCAGAACGTGACAAGAGAGCCTCCTCCACATGAGAAACATGATCTGCACTATGAATTTGCCTATCGCTCTAAGTGAATCCTAGGAACACAAGCAGAACCTTTGCTTTAATTACATCTTCAGAGCTGTAGCACCATGAAATTTCAAGTTAGTCTTCTGGTAGCTTTCAACAAGGCAATGCAAAATGGTAACATGATGTGCAGCATACATAGCCCTTGAATTTCCCAAGAGCTAGGGATCCACAGAAGAAACTCCAAACCTATACGACAGTTATAAACAAGGTTTAAGATTAGCAAGCAATGAACGTCTTCTACCCTGATGCAAAAACTGCATGCTGCCAAGTAGAGAAAAATGCAGTCTCCCCTTTATTACTGGAAACTCTCACAAACGAGATCTTGTTTCATTCGCATAAAGCCATCTCCAGTTACAACTACAATATTTGACTCGAGCGTTTTCTCATTAATACTTTTAGCTGTAGCATGAAGAGCAAATAAAGCTAATATACATAAGAAACCCATCTGGTGTAAGTTAGTTTTAGAATAACAAAAACAGAATTCCAAGTTTTAACCTCCTTAGAAAACACGTGCAGTAAAAAGCACTTAACAGCACTAAACCTCTTATGTCTGGACCATAATGACCCAGACAAGAAAGTGCCAGGTTGTTACGCAATTGAGTCTTAAAGCTATGATCGATTCTGTGCTAAAAGCAGCCCGTCAAACTAAACTGAAGAATTTATCTGTCCAAAGTAATCAAACTTCAACATTGCTAGTACTATTTCTAATAGAAAAAGTAGTTTTCTAATATTAAGAATTGGCTACTAGCCACAGTTATTTGATTTGGCAAATTAGGAGCTTATACAAAGATAACTCCCTACCAAGAAACAACCACTTGGCAGTTAAAAGATAATAAACTTAAGATTTAAAGTGTCAAGTACGGTACATTCAGCAATTTATGTGGCTGTAAATTAATGCCCCCTTCCACATCGAAGTACTTCTCAGAGAAAAAAAAAAGCTGAAACAGCTAGCAAGTATGAGGAAGCTAAAATTTAAGGCTTTCCTCCACTACACTGTTAACAAGTTAATATCTTGCCTATTCAAGTGCAGTAATTCTGCAGTAACTGCTTATACTTACCCTCAAAGATAAGTTAGTCCAAATCATGCTGTACCACAATAATAGTAACATTTATAATCTGCTTCAAAAAACAGTTTGTATGTAGTTCTCAATTTCTATGCCCTTTGGACCAGTTCTCTCTGCCATGCCATTTGCATATACCATCTACCCCCCCCAACCTCGCAGACTGCATGAATGCAGCATTTTCCAGGAGCTTTCTGCTGATTTCTTCTCAAGTTTATTAGAAATCAAAAAATATACTGCATTAGTTTGCATGTAACTAGGGCCTCAGCAAGTTATGCAGGAAACTTACCCCACAGACTGTACTACCTTAGCCCTCTGTTTATTCCTGAAACTTATCGAAGTAAAACATTCACGTGATATAAAATTAGTTTCTCACGACTCAAGCTCCCAAGCTGTTTCTAGCATGATCTACGTTCACTGCACGCTTGCACAGCTTAGTTTATGTACCAGGTTAGTGTTTTGGTTAAGATTTCTTCAGAAAACGATATGATATTACGTTATTTCTTGGGAAAGCCAAGCTTATAATTGCTAATAAAGACCCAGGCATCCTTTTGTTGTTTCGTTATACTGAAAAGTAAAGGGCTAATCTTGCTGTTTCTTAGTAATAACGATCAATGGATCTGCCCTACATTTCAGAAAGCATAGTTTTAAGTTTAAAAGCATACCACTACACCTTCTAGAGCGCAGGAAAGCATGTTTACTCACAAGTATCAAGACAAACCACTGTGTCATCAAAATGCTCATCTTCTTCTTCAACAGGTGGTTGAGGGGACTTAGCCCTGGCGAGGGAGGAGGAAAAAGAAGAGAATAAAAAATTAAAGTTGGAAGCATTTTAGTAGGGGTATAGGAAATACTTCCTACAGCTTCTCATTCGCAAAATCTTGTCCAGCATCAAAAGTTTCTTTACCTGCTGTACTTATTTTCTTCAATGTATTCAAAATACCCACGGCCATGATCTTCACGTGGTCTCTTCACACCCCTCTTTTTCTCACCAGGTTTTTGTTCTGTTTTAGCATCTCCTGTAACAGAGTTAACAATTTATTTTAGCAACGCAATGTAACTCTGCTGGGAATAAAACCATCCATAACGTTTCCAACTTTGGAAACTGAACGAAAACCCTCAGGAACTGAAAAGCAACAGCATCTTGGCAGACTTTTTTGTGTTGCTCCAAGACAAAAAGCTTGCATCTCCGCATCTGGCACGGTCCTCGATGTTAAGAGAAGACGCCCAGAGAAAAGCCATCCCGCTCTCACGCGGTGAAAAAGAACGGCCAAGAAGGCGCCCGCGCTCTCACCCGCGCCGAGCAGGACACTCCCGGGCGCTCACAAGGACGCCGAGCGCTCCGCACGAGTGCGCCGCCTCC